ACCCCTGGTTGCTCATGGTGTTCTAGCACAGTTCAGCCTTCAATGTTTAATGAACAAAAAGTGATCAGTATCAGTGATTAGTTATACAACTTTTGTTCCTCACTCACTGACTCCCTGCTTCTCCTCCCAATCCTCTGATCACCAGCCCCTGAATGTAATGACTCCAGTGTTAAAATGTTCCCACCTTCTTCACAACCACCTTTTTCTCTCCACGTGCCTCAGTCACTCATACAGCTGAGCTCAGTGTCGGTCCCTCTTGTCTATTGCCCTACATTAATTACTTCAGTGCCCCTTAACCACCTGCTGTCCGGCCGTTGTAATTTAACGGCCGGACAGCAGCTTCTTGAGGGCGGGTGGGCGTCTTTAGACGTCCCATCCCGTACCGCTCGTGCCCGCCGCTAGTGCGAGCCCGGGACCAGCACAGCAGCTCTGCTTGTTTGCTCCCTATGTGATAGCAATAAAGTACAGTGGAAAAAAAAAAAGGTTTAAAAAAATTTGTTACAATAAAAAATTAAAAATCACATATCGAAGCAATAAAAAAAAATTAAAGTCCCCCGCCCCCACATGCACACGCAAACATGCGTCAAGCCCGCCTACGTGCGAAAACGCCTATTACATCCATTGCGCCGCACATGTTGCGCCGCAATGATTCTAGGGCCATTAATCACGGATAACACTAAACTGATGAGCCTTAAAAGCTTTGAAAGCGTTGGCTATGGTCAATTTTGAGTATGGTAGTTTTTTGCGATTTATTGGGTGCGCGCAATTTTAAAGCTTGCCATGTTTGGTGTCTATTTTCCCGACGTGACCTCGTCTTTTATTTTTTTATAAAAAAATTGGGTAATAATAAATGCTTTATAACGTAGGGAGAACAGGTTTTTTTTCAACATTTTCGGTACTTTTTTTATTATATAGTATTAAAAAAAACTCTGTAGTGATGATTAAATACCACCAAAAGAAAGCTCCATCTGTCCCCAAAAAATGGTATAAAATTAATTTCAGTACAGCGTTGCATGACGGAATAAATGTCAGTCAAAGTACCGCAGCACTGAATACTGAAAAATGGCCTGGACAGGAAGGGGGTATCAACACCCCGGTCAGCAAGTGGTTAAAGTGCAATTAAGAAAATAGGATTTTTGAAATTAAAAGACTGGAGCATGATTGCAGTGTTAGAAGTTATGTTATGGGTTATATAACGCCAAATATTTATAATGGTGAAATTTGTTTGTAATAAATAAATAAAAAGACATTTAAAAAAAATATTGAACTTTGTCCGATGATGTAAAACCATTAATCACATCAAGCAGCAATATAGATCCAACATCAATCCTGATTTGCAGTGTTCAATGAATCATGATGAGAGCAATTTTACTGAGGTAGTTGGTGGTCGGGGCAAAAAAATTAATTTACCCGGTGAAAATAAAGAAATGCTTACAGCAGCATCACTCAATCCTGTGTGCGGGTGAATGAGTAGCATCCAGGGAAACAGTGCACATGCGCAATTTTGTGGACGAGCATGATTGCAACTTCATGCTCGTCCAGGGTAAAACTGCAAAGTAGGTATATGCAGGGGGAGAGAAGATGGGGGAACTTTGTATGAAGTGAGACATTACATCATAGTATTCAAAAGAGAAATGTACCTCATAGTATTCAAAAGAGAAATGTACCATCTGCCCTAAATAGTTAGCCAAGATGGAACCGAACACACAAAATATATTTTTAAGCCGTGGTTTAACTAAATGTTTAGAATTTTAGGGGAGATTATTTTCTCTACAATGCACAATGATTTTTAACCTAGTAGAGCAACTCCTTTGTTTAACAAGGTGAACTAGCCCTTTAGGTCCAGAGATGCCTTTATTAAAATTTTGTTATTCTGTCTTAATTCATGTTGGAAAACAAATTATTATGAAATTTATGTAAGAAACTGTAAGCCCTTTTCTGTAAATATTTATCTCTGTTTCACAGAATATCACTGATGCCGTTGGTCGGGCAATTGCAGATTCTCTTCAAATACCAATTCAGACTGCATACCGAGAAGCTTTTCAGAGCATTGTCCTTCCAGCATTTGAGAAAGGATGTCAGTCTATGTTTCAGCAGATAAATGGCAGCTTCCGACAAGGCACACAAGAATGTAAGAACCTTTACTGTTCATTCTTAGATCTGGACCTTGTGTGTTATATGTTACCTAATGCAAGAGTGTGGTGTTCTTTCATCTTATCCATCTTTCTTTGATGTCACTTCTATAGTTTTTTGTGTTTTTTCTTTTGGGTTTTTTTTTTCAGAGATCAGCTTAGAAACCATATAATCAATAAATATTCTTCAAACTAAATTGGCATAAAGTATTTTTTTTTAAATGTATTTCAAGAAAATGTATAACCATGATTTATCATATGTGCACACATATACCCCCCCTCCCAATATTAACAACACCCCTCCCTATAAAATCACAATGCATGTTGGACCAGTTGGGTACCTGATATGGGCCTGTATAGAAAAAAATCATACATATGTACTGTATTAATATAAACGTTATCTGTGTGGTGGGCGGTGTTAATCAATTGTCTCAGTCCATGAACTAATTAAACTCCAAAATCAGACAATTGGACAATAGTCACTGGATGTAATGTAGTCCAACTACTTTGTACAGCTGTATTAGCTCTGAGTAAGTTCTTGTATGGAATGAAATGCGTTAGCTATTCGCATTACAGCATTCCAGGGCCATAGGGTTTCTCAGCTGATCTCTGATGTGTAGTTAAGTGGGAACCTGTTGTTTTTTCCATATGTAAATCTCTAGCACCAAATAACTTACACCCACCAGTACTTAGAAAGCTTAGCCAAGTTATAGCCAGACCATGGTGCCTAATTTTTAAGGGTGCCTTACTGACTGGAAGGGTTTCACCCTTCAATATTCAAAAACGGGTTGAAATGTCTACTGGGGAACTACAGACTAGGGAACCTAACAGTAGTAGTATATATAGTATAAAACTATTTGAGGTAATGGTAGAGAACTATATACAAGAATCTGTCTGCGCTAATGGTATAATAAACAACCAACATGGATTTATTAAAAGATTGTTCTCGTCCGTCTAATTTATTAACATTATATGAGGAAGTGAGTAGCAGTTTAGATGGAGGAAGTCCAGTGGATGTGGTCTAACTGGATTTTGCTAAAGGATTCATTACAGCACCCCATACATGCTTAATTTACAAATGCCATTGTATGGGCATTGATTAATTGGTGTATACATAGAATACTGGTTACAGGAACAGGTCCAGAGAGTATCAGTAAATGGCTCATGTTCAAAATGGTCTAGGGTTGTGAGTGGCATGCCGCAGGATTTTGTCTTATGGCCAGTGCTGATTAACCGCTGTTTTATTAACGATATTGAGTCATTAACAGTCTTTCAGTGTTTGCTGATGATACTAAAATATGCAGGGTATGAACATGACCAGGGCTTGAAAAATCCACTCGTCCGCTCGTCTGTGACGAGAGGACGGCGGAGCTCGACGAGCAGCTTCCCGGCCGGTTGTTGTAATTACACGGCCGGGAGCTTTACATCCAAGCGATGGGGCGTCTCTAGAGACGCTTGATCGCTTGTATTAGCAACAACTGTCACTGCCGTTGCAGGTCCTGAGATCCGATGCGGCCGGGAACGGCACGGCTCTGTGACAGGAGATCAAAGGGAGTTCAGTACACGAACTCCCTTTGATCTGCTCTCAGTCCCCGAATGCAGGAAGTGATGTATATTACATCACTTCCTGCATTCAGTGTCACTCTCCAGCTACAGAAGCTGATGAAGCAGATCTCTGCTTCATCAGCTTCTCTGGGGGTCCCCAGGTGACATTAGGCGTCTTGGAGACCCTGATGTCTCCATAAAGAGGACCTGCCATGTAAATTGGCTATCACATAGGGGCTTCTTAGCCCCCCATGTAATAGCAATAAACTTGTGTGTAAAAAAAAAAGTAATGCAAAAATTAAAGAAGCATAAAAAAAAGCATAAACAAATTAAAAAAGAAAACATTTTTTTAAGGTCCCCGCCCCCCACATACACACGCAGATATGCGTCGGTTGCGCCTACGTGCGAAAATGATGATTGCGCCTATTGTGCTGCACATGTTACATTTCGCCGCAAACGTCGGAGTGAGAGCAATAATTTTAGAGACATTAATCACTGATAACACTAAACTAATGAGCAGTAAAAGCTACATATTATAGTACTTTTTTAATTACATAGTAAAAAAAAAAAAAACCCCCCCCCCCCCCAGTGGTGATTATATACCTCCAAAAGAAAGCTCTATCTGTCCCCAAAAAATGTTAACATAAATTGCACGGCTATAGTCCAGTCATGCTGGACTGGTGACATTTTTGACTGACTGGTGAGGCACCATCAACATTTTCAAGCCCTGAACATGACACAGAACATAGCAGCGTTACAGGAAGACATTGACAAAATAGGTGGGTGGGCAACTACATGGCAGAAGAGATTTAAAGTATTATTAAACTCTCAAAAAAAAATTCAATAATGAGTCCACATCAAACAAAATATACATTGCCAAACAAAGTATTTATATTTTTTGCCCAAGCGCTTAGTCATCATGTTTCAGAACTGACTCCAAGTCTCTGCTCAGCTTCCTTGAACTTCCTCTTCAGTACAAGCTCTCAAGAGACAGAGCAGTCCCCAGCAGCTGTCCATCTACTAGCTTGGAGAAGGGATAAGGAAAGAATGAGGAAAGGTGAGCAGAAAGCAGGGGAGTGGCTTGCCTAGCTAGACCTGTTTGTTTAGTGAGACACACAGAGCTTACTAGCACACACAAGGCTGGCTCCATAGGACACTGCAAGTGAAAAGAGCCACACTAAAACAAGATATCTGGACCAGTGCAAAGGGGACCAGCTGATTCTGCAGGAAGCTAAAACATTTCAACTTCAATGAGCAGCACCCATTGTAAGTGATTTCAAAAAAGCTATTTTGAACCTTTTGACTTTATTATGAACCTATTATCACTTTAATATTGAAAAATGTAAAGCTCTGTAATTGAGTGCTAAAAAATATGCATGCAAGCTAGTCATTAGGGGAGCTCATCTGGGGAAATGGGAGATAGAAAATGATTTGGCAATCCTAGTATATTACAGATTTAGCAATAGCATGCAATGCCAGCCTGCAGCAAACACTGTTAGCAGACTACTATCATGCATCAAAAAGAGTATTTACTGTACAGACAAATCCATAATTCCACCACTCTATAAAACATTGGTTCATCCTCATCTTGAGTATGCGCTCAGTTTTGATCACAGCTTCACAGATACTTAAACTTGAGAGTCCAGAAAAGGGCAATAACATTAATAAGGGGCTGAAATACCTAAGCTATTAGGAAAGGTTACAAAAATTACACTTGTTCACTCTAGAAAAGTAGCATGTAAGAGGGGTTATGATTTTTAATGTACAAGTTGTTTAACCCCTTCATGACGGAGCTTGTTTTTAGTTTCTCTTCGTAAATGACTGACACGCTTTTTACATTTTTGCTGTGCGATTCTTCCACGGCAGTAATATACTTTCTTACAAGGTGCACCCACACATATTATATATTGTTTTTTAGAGGACAGGGCTATATATTCATATCACATATGTGTACCTAACACCTCACTTAGGACAAATAAAATCTAAAAAAGAGGGGGGGAAATTTAAAGAAAACACCTTTTCCCCGGTTTTGATTTTAGTATTTTAGAAAAATAGCACAGCTAAAAAAATGCATTAAAAACATTTATTTGTCATGTATTTAAAAAGAAACTCACATTCCTAGGATTTTTGAAATTTTGCTCTACTTCTCAACATTTTAATCTTTTTTCTTTTAAAGCTAAAAGTAGAGATCTGGATAGAGGGAAGCCGGTGGATGTGGTATGTCTGGATTTTGCCAAAGCTTTTGACACAGTACCACATAAAAGCTTAGTAAACAAGCTAAAGGTTTATGGGCTTAGATGTAATGGTGTGTACATGGATAAATAACTGGCTACAGGAACGTGTCTAGAGAGTATTGATAAATGACTCTTTTTCAGATTGATCTATGGTGGAGAGTGGCATGCCCCAGGGTTCTGTGCTAGGCCCCATACTGTTTAATCTGTTATTTAATGATATCAGGGAAAGTATTAACAGCCATGTTTCTGTGTTTGCTGATGATACTAAAATTAGGAGGGTAATGGACACAGACTTAAACACTATAACATTGCAGGAGGACCTGGATAAAATAGGGGAGTGGGCAACTATATGGCAGATGAGGTTTAATGTTGATAAATGTAAAGTAATGCATTGTGGGGTTAAAAACAGGCAAGACGAATACACATTATTGGGTACTCCACTAGGGAAGTCAGAAATGGAAAAAGATCTGAGGGGCATAGTAGACCACAGATTGAATAATAGTTTGCAATGCCAGGCTGCGGCAAACAAAGTGAGCAGAGTACTGTCTTGTATTAAAAAAGGAATGTACTGTAGAGACAAAGCAATAATTTTGCCACTTTACAGATCACTTGTTCGGCCTCATCTGGAGTATGCAGTCCAGTTTGGTCACCAGTCCACAGAAACTATGTCCCTGAGCTGGAGAAGTGTCCAGAGAAGGGCAACTAAACTAATTAAGGGGGCTAGAGGACCTAAGCTATGAGACAAAGTTACTAAATTTAAACTTGTTCACACTGGAAGTGAGGAGATTAAGGGGGGGGCATGATTTTGATGTACAAAATGTTTAGTGGTGATGGCAAGTAAACAAAGACTAGAGGCCACCACCTAAAACTGGTGGAGAAAAGATTTAACCACAAAGGGCGTAAGGGCCTTTTTTTTGTCAGAGCGTTTGAGGTCTGGAACTCGCTGCCACACGCAGTGGTATCAGCTGAGAGTATTGAATAATTCAAAAAGCATTTAGATACTTTCCTCAGAAACTGCAACATACAGGGGTAAAGGTACACTTAAAAACAAGGACACACAGGAACTCGTGTACACATATACACATGCACAATCACACACAGACAAACAAGTGTTGGACTTGATGGACCTGTGTCCTTTATTCCACCTCAAATACTACCGTATTTTTCCGTCTATAAGACGCCCCCATGTATAAGACGCCCCCAACTTTTCTTAGCCAAAA